TGTTAAGTTAGAGTATCCACCACTGGACCAAATTCTTTCAAGAGAAGCCAACGACAATCCTTACACAAATGTTCAAACAAATCTTCAGATAACGTAGACCATTACCTTCTTCAGTTATACCAAACAATTTTACTCAAAGACGATAAGAAGCTTTTGGTAAATCTTATAAGCAAGAACCAAATAATTCTAAACAAAGGAGACCTTGAAAATGTTATCTCACGAATAACAGGGAAACAATGTGTCATTGACTATCTCGACCCTGAAATCGAATGCTGTGGTCAAACTCCACTATTCATGAAAATAGGTAACATCCGCATCATTGAAACACCAGGAACTACAGGAGTTGAGTTTAAGTATAAATATTCGAACGAATATACAAAACTTTCAACAGAATATAAACTTTGTTTGAAATATGTTTTAGTAAATTAAAGCAGTCAGGAGGGCTCTTTGAGCCCATCTTGGCGCTTTGCGCCGTCAGTCAAAAAAAATTTCAAGTTAGCAATTTGTAATATCTATCCAAAACTTCTTCAACAGTATCGAACTCATCTTCATAATGCAAACCTAATCTTATTGACTTGGTGCAGTTTTCACTAACACAATATTTTTCTGTGCTCTTGACTGACATAACTAATTCATTTGTTTCATCAAACAGCAACAACCAAAGTTCATGACCTAATACATAACATTCATACTTTATATTTTTAGCTCTGAGTTCTCTTGTAAACTGTTGCATTTAATATTTTCTAAAAAGTCAACTTCAACAGTCATTCGCACTGGTGCCTTCAGTTCTACAGGCTCTCCTTGAAAGTCAACAAGTCTGAATTGCATGTCTTTCAAATTATGAGGACTAATGCGAACCCATTTACCTAAATGAGTTGCTATGACAGGAACGTTTGGAATGAACATTGAATTGACTGCATAACAGAAGGATTTATATTCTACTGAACCTTTACTATTAACTCCTGAAATGCCTGTGACATTAGCTATTTTAGACTCAATGTATAAACAATTACCATAACATACGTATGGAACAGATTTCATCTCAATCGTTTTGTCAACACTTTTCAAAGGAAATGTCATATGGTATGCACCCAAAAGAAGTTGTACTCTATGACTCATTCGTGTTATCTTAAACTCCTTCGCATAACCGAACTTCAAAACTCCTGCAATAAGTTTAACATTCATTAAGTTTTCTTCGTTATCCTTGTTTATTGTAGTATTTATGAGAGCATTTAACACTCCAGCTAATGTTTCCATCTTATATTCTACATTATTGTGAAATCTTATTTCGTGCTTCTTTCCATCTATTTCAATCTCCATGAAATCTGTTTCATCTGTTATAACGAATGAAGCGATAGTATTGAAGTCAACCATTCTGAATGCAAGCGCCTCATTCTGTAGACCTAAGTTTGTTTGTAGCTTTACTGTCCCGTATTCGTTTGGGTCTGTACTTTGCAAATAGAACAACATTTTATTCTCATTAAAATCTGAGTATAGCTGCATATGCGTATGAAGCTGACAGAGCTAAACGTTTATATTTTGGTCAATACTCTCTCACACTTACTGACAAATATATTGTTATCACTGATGGAAATACTGAGAAATACATAACATGGAAGGACTATGAAAAGTTTGACCCTATTTTAACTCCATGTACTATGCCGTTTATAAAGGACGGTGAAATTATTGAAAAAGATAATACAACCGTATATAGGTCTGTTTATGAAGCATTAGAATATATGTTGAATCATAATCCAAAAAGATTTGACCCAAGCACTACACCATGTGCAATGCCTTTTATTAAGGACGGTGAAATCGTAAGAGTTCCGGATTCAACGGTTTACACAGCTGTTCAAAACAGTTTACAAAACATTTTAGCGAATATCTTTAATTCAGAAACTACAGAAATAAAATTACCATATATAACAGATGCTAAAGAAATTAAATCAAAAACGACAACATTATTTACGTCACTTAATGATTTAATGACTTATATCATTAATATTCCTGCACCAACTACAGCATTTGATCCAAACTCGACGGTTTGCAGTGTACCTTTCATAAATGACAGTTCATTAATTACTTTAAGGGATTCAACAGTAAATGAATCATTAAAGGCGTCATTAATGAAAATCATTGATTTTAATTCATTCACGAATACATATAATTCATTCATTAATGTTTCATATGCTTCTAAAGAAGGTGAGCCAAAAACTATCGATAAAGCGGTGTATGAAATAAAAGCATCAACGACGAAATTGAATTCGTTAACTTTTGACGGTGATAGTTTCGTTAATGACATAACATCGGGGAAAACAATTTTAACGAAAGAATACTTAAAATCTCATGTTAGTGAGTTCGTTGAAATTGAAAAAGAAGGTGGAATTAAGTTTGATCCACTGAATTTCATTTTCAGCTTAGCGAATGCGGGTGTTAGTTTCGCTGAATGGACAACTATACAGAGTGAAATAAATGCAATATAGACGTTTTTGGGGTCAAAAGCGGGAATGGGTGAGCTTGTAAATGCTGCAAGAACATTAGGTGAAACAGGAAATTTTGTAGATGGTTTTAAAAGACTTGTTTCAAATGTTTTAACAAACACAAAGAAATTATTTAGATATACCGTACATAACGGACGGATTTTCGAACAGATAGCAACAAACCCTCCGGTTATGGCTGCGTTGATGATGGTTAGAGATATAAAACCACGTAACGACGGGAACGAAGAACATGAACAACAGGATACTGGTCGGGTTATTCGAGACATTAAAAACGTGTATCCTGAAGTTATTGATTTATTTAGAGGAGTTAATGATTCAATTTCAAAATATTCTATAACCCTCGATGAAGAGAATAAATTAACAGATTATATATTCGTCATTATTGCAGAATTAATGAAGAAAATAAATGAAAAAGAAATTGGTGATATCATTAATGTCAGCGATGTAATGATGAAAAGAAATTTTGACTCATTATTTACAAAACCGAAAACAGAATATAGTCTTTATGACGTAATTACTGAATTAATGAAAAAGATTAATGATAATAAGAGTTCTGGCGGAAGAGTTGAATTAGAAGTGAATGATGTTAATGAGAAATTAGCCGAAAAAGCAGACAAAAATGAGCTTTTAGCTCTGAGTGATAAAGTCAAGAACCACGTTCATTATATAACTTCAGACAAACAGATTATAACGGACTACCATGGATATTTAACACAGGATGAACAAATAAGCACTGAAGATGTTAATGAAAGAAGATATAAATTCATTCGTGCTAAAGGTTATGACATAAGCTGTACTGTACAGTATGACACGGGTAAAGCACCAGAAGCATTTGGTTATAACGATGAAATTTATGCTTCATACTTCTTTGTTAACGGTGTATTAGTTGAACCAAGATTTACATTGAGAGTTAAGGCAAAAATAACTTTTGAAGATGCTATTAAAAGTAAAGCTGACAAAGTTGAACTCGAAGCAACGAACAAAGTTTTGAAATCTCATAAACACAACATCTCCGATATAAATGAACTTCAAGCTACATTAGACAGTAAAGCTGACAAGAACCATACACATAAATCCTTCACTACTGTTAGAGCAGACGACATAATATAGGGTGTCCAAAGGTGTGTTTAGCACAAACCTGAATACTGCGAATAGAAATAAACAAGTTACATATATATAAAGTTTATTTAAATATAATCACCATTGGATTCAATCACGCGTTCGCAGCGATCGATCCAGGCTTGAAAGACACGCTTTAAATCATCATGAGAAAATTGCTCAAATTGCTCTCTTACAAAATTTTCAAGATCATCTGGACTCGCGAATTCGCGTCCTTCAGCTCTCTTTTTTAGCGTGCCGAATAAATAAAAGTCAGAGGGTGCAATATCAGGTGAATAAATTGGGTTTGGAACAACTTTGACATTGTTTTCCAACAAGTAATTCATTACCTTATGACTTTTGTGAACTCTTGAATTATCAAAATGAATTGCAAACTTTTGTTTTTGTTGTTTGGATTTCTCAAACTCATCAGAATTGATAATTTGAGTAAGAACATTGTCAATTAGATACTGAGCATTCATCGTATTAGGTTTTTGAAGAATATCAATTGCGATGATGCCATTCACGCCCCAAAAAACCGACAACATAATCATTGGTGTGTCAATTTTTTTCTTCGGGAATGTTTGCGGATTTTCATCCTTCGGGATCCACATGATTTTGGCTTCTGTTGCATATTGAAACCAAGACTCGTCCCCTGTTACTAAAAAGCGAAACTTCTTGGATTGATACGCACCCAATATAGAGAGGAGCTCTTTCGAAGATTGGACTCTAGATTTTTTTTGAACTGAATTAAGGTTGTGCGGAACCCAACGTGTATACGCTAGTTTGTAGTTCAAATAATTGTGCAGATAATAACTGACTGTTGTACGTGGTATCTTTGTCATCTCCTCTATCCTTCTGAGTGATGCTCTTGGGTCTTCATCTAGCGCTTGAAGAATTGCTTTGATTTTTCTTTGATCCGGCGATTTTTTGTCAATTTTTATGATGGGCGCCTTTTTGTTCATGAAGTGATACATCCTAACATGATACGTTACAGTGGAATAGCTAGGAGCATCCATACCGAAGCATTTTACCAATGTCTCGTAGATTTTTTACAGTCTTTGCATTTTTTTGCAAGAGCGAGGATGTTTTCTTTATGATTCATTAAAAAAATGAAAAAAATCCCGCCAAAATTTCCCGCGAAACCGCCTCTTGTCTCAAAATTCATTTTATATCCCGGCATGGCGCCAAAATACAACATACTCATCATATACATATATTCATATTTTTTATTATATATTTATAATCAGCATATATCTCCTTTAATAGTCTCATATAGAGCGCTGTGCTAAACGCACCTTTGGACACCCTATATTGAACTATACCCTTGGTTCAAGTGCACCATTAGAAAATCCGAGTACAAGCGTAAAAGATACACTAAACTCCTTAAATGGTAAATGTATGAACATTGAATATCATGCCATAAACTTTGAAACACATGAACTACCAGCAATGTTAGAGAAGAAAGCCGACAAGAACCATACACATAAATCCTTCACTACTGTTAGAGCAGACGACATAATATTGAACTATACCCTTGGTTCAAGTGCACCATTAGAAAATCCGAGTACAAGCGTAAAAGATACACTAAACTCCTTAAATAACAAATGTATGAATATCGAAGGTCATGTCAGAAACTTTGAAACACATGAACTACCAGCAATGTTAGAGAAGAAAGCCGACAAGAACCATACACATAAATCCTTCACTACTGTTAGAGCAGACGACATAATATTGAACTATACCCTTGGTTCAAGTGCACCATTAGAAAATCCGAGTACAAGCGTAAAAGATACACTAAACTCCTTAAATGGTAAATGTATGAACATTGAATATCATGCCATAAACTTTGAAACATATGAACTACCAGCAATGTTAGATAAGAAAGCCGACAAAACAGAGCTTCAAACATTAAAGACTGAAATACTTCAAACATTATATCCTATAGGCTCTATTTATACATCAATGAACTCAACAAATCCAGAAACAGTTTTAGGTTTTGGTACGTGGAAGCAGATTGTAGATAAATTCTTATACTGTGCTAGATATTCAAAGCAAACAGGAGGTTCGAAGAAAATTAAAGAAGCAAACCTTCCACCGCACACTCATACAGGAACTACAAACACAACAGGTAGTCATTCAGATTCAATAACAAAAAGAGGTTATACAAATCTTGCAGCAGGTTCGGATAGACAGGGAATGAATAGATATGATATTTCAAGTGACCCAGTAGATTCAAGCACAGGTATTTTTTGTGGAACCACAGGAAATCATTCACACACTTTCACAACAAATCCAACAGGCTCGGGTGAAGATTATATGCCACCATTTATGACTATATTCGCATGGTACCGTCTTGAATAAAATCTTTAACTTTACATAAATGAGCTTGAAAGAAGTATTCGAACAACATCCATGGAGGTCATTTAAGAAGTTCAATGAAGCTGCAAAGAGTTGGGGATTTACTAACAGAGCTGAAGTGAAAAGGTTCTTTGACAAAAATGTTGTACATCAAACAAAAATAAACCCTTACGACTACTTTTTACCAATTTACTCCAACACTCCTGACGCATACCAATTTGACACTCTCATTCAAAGCAGAAAAGGAGGACATAAACCATTCCTCATCTTCATTAATGTTAACACTCGCAAAGCATATGCATATATAATGAAAAATAAAGGAACTCGTGAAGTGTTAAGAGTTTTACAAAAGTTTGTAGCAGAACATAGCCCAAGTACTTTAACATCAGACCAAGACAGTGCATACCTCAGCAATGAAATCACAGATTTTCTCATTAAGCATAACATAACTCACTACACTACTGAAGACCATAACCATAACATACTCGGCATCATAAACCGCTTCATAAGGACTCTCAGAGATTTAAATCAAGAGCGAGACTTTACCGAAGAAACAATGAAACACTTTCTCGAAGTATATAATTCCTCAACACATTCTACAACAGGACATACACAAAATTCAATGACACAACAACAACAAGAAAAGTATATACAAAAGAAACGAAGCCAAACACAAAATATCAGAAATTCAACACAATTTACCCTCATTCCTGGTACAAAAGTTCGTGTAGTTCTTGACGACAAACCGTTGACAAAGAAACGTTTAAGGTTAAGTAGAAACTATTATATCGTAGACTCTACGCAAGGTAATGGATATCTTATTAAAAGCTGCCGACGACTCTATTGCGTTTTATCCTCGTCATAAATTAGTCGAAAGTAGTAATGGCAAAACTTGCTAAAACCATTGACGAAGCAAAGCGAGGAGTGGTTATTGAAATACTTGGCTATAACATAAACGATGACACTTATAAAGTAAGATATGAAGGAGGCGTTGAAGATGTTATACCATCTAAGAACTTGAGAGGTCAAAGCCAACACATCTGGGACCATTAGAGCGGGAGTACTGGAAAGACAAAAATATGCCAGAAAGAATAAGAAAATTCTTCTAAACTTTTTCATTAGATGTAAATCAGACATGAACGAGAACAGTCATTGATATCATTAATGGTACCATTTATTTTAACATAAAGACGCAAAGCGGCGGGGCATAGCCCATGAACAAATAATTTTTGCTGAATTCAGCACAAAATTCTGAGTAAAATGACATATGGTACGTGTCAAACCGTTGAGTTTTCACAAATTTTAAAATTTGCTGCGGAAAGTTCGTCAAAAAGTGAAGGTTCCCGACGGTTTCAAACCGCCATACTTTACATGAAGATAGTTTACAATGTCAACTAATATATGTACGATAGAAACGGTTATGTAAAGTTTACATTTTGTACAAAAATATTGTGAGTAAATGAACTCATTATTTTTGCATCATGACACGAAGTGAAGATTTGCACTTCGTCAAAATGTGATTGCAAAACAAGCATTTTATGAGCTTACTAAGGCGTTATAAATGAATTCAAAGTATTTACTTACATCTGACCTCGTTCATTTTGTTGCTGAATTCAGCAAAAATAATGTTTAGGGTAGATGGTTAGATCTACCTCATTTCTACCCTCATTTCTACCCTCATGAATTTTCCTTAAGATAGAAAAAAAATAAAGTTAATTTTATTTTATTTATTTTTTTTATTTTTATATAAATATGATTACAAAAATCAAAACATCAGCACTTTCGACAGCATGCACGGCACCAAATTCATTAATCATGAATCCTACGTCAATGTTGGTAGAGATGAAAACTTCATTCCTTCTTCATACTTTGAACAGAAATACAAGAATAAAGCAAGAACTTTTAACAAGTAATTTAGACTGTAGTGCGAAAAGATGAAAACAAATGAACAGTATCTTTATGAAATGCAAGATATCATAGACCATTTGCCTAAATTACCGGAAGTTCAGCAACAAAAACTAACTATTCCTGAATTCGATGAAATTGAAGTTAAAGTTACTGATTCAGTAGAAATAAAGAAGTTCATACGTAAAGTAAATTATGAATTCCTTGGTTTTCATTGCAACCATAAAGTTATGAACAAAGATTGCGACATGGTTTATAAAAAACATTTCTGACATATATAAATCTGAGGAGTTTAAGACTTACGATAACTTTGTTTCATTAGCTGCTGAATGTGTGTGGCAGATAAGAGATAAAGACAGAAGAGGCAAAGTATGGAACGAACAGATAAAACCAACTGCTTCAGATTTAAAGAAAGCCATTGATGCTTTAGTTATTTTAGCTGGTAATGTTTCAATGTATAACGCAAAAATGAATCCGCAATGTTCAAAATGTAAAGCAGCAATGAGGAAATATAACTATTCAGTAAAAGAGATAGAACGTATGAGAAACGATTACGCAGACTTAAAGAAAGAAGCAGAAAAGCCAGCAGAAGATAAAATGGACATGTTGACATTTCTTAATAAAAACTATCCCACAGCTGATGATTTCCTTTTATCTGATGTCAAGAAGAAGTATAAAGAAACTTTCGGCATTGTTAAAATTTTTGATATATTAACTGAAGAAATAGAAGCTACGAAATTGTTTAGAATCTCACGAATTCATAACGTTTACCATGTAAAACGGTTATAAATAATGAGGGTAGAAATGAGGGTAGATATCAGGTTAGATCTAACCATCTACCCTAAACATTATTTTTGTCTGAAAAATGACCAAATTTCATGAATTTCATTAGTTAGAAAATAACGCTAATTTTTTCTAAGAAAAATTTTTATTTTGTATGTAAAGAAGTAATGTCAAACATTGAGTTTGAAACAGTTAGAAAGATTGACAATGACACCAAAGTGGTTAGAATAGGTGATTTAAACGTAAGATACTGTAAGAAATACAACAAATATTCTTTGTCAGACATTATATCTCCATCTGAAAGAAAACAAACCACTGGGTTAGAAATGCTTCAACGCAGAAAATTTTGACAAGAAATCCTGAGCTTATGATATCGGTAAGTTCTATGGAACTACAGATATCTCATTGACAAAGTCTTATACCAATAGTTTTGTTATGGTTAGACTCAGTTGTTGGATATAACTTCATAACTTATGGTTCATTCGACTCAGAACGTTGCAGTGAAGGCTTACTTTACATCGTTCAGAAACCGAAGGACTTCAATACAAAGAGATATAAGATAGGAAGAACATATAATAACTCAAAGATATGACTCTACAGTCAATAGAGTCAAGGTTGTGTTCGTTAATGATATGAGAGCCGCAGAAACAGAACTGCTTGAAGTTTTTGAGAAAATGTATGGTGCTCCCATAAAAGGTAAAGAAAACGTTTGAAGTAGATGAGATAGATAAAGCTATAAATTATTTGACGAAGTTGCTGAAAAATACATGTAAAGCGTTTATTTTTGTCTTTTGTGAAAGTCAGAAAATAACGCTAATTTTATTTTTATTTATTTTTTTATTTTGTATGTAAAGACAGTAATGTCAACATCAGAGAACACAACAATTGCTATCGTTCATGAAGCCATAAATGAAGAATACGAACACATACAATATAACAAACAACTTCGCCTCATTCGTTCGGTCAAAGATGACATGTACCAAATGCAAAGTATAATGAATGCTCTTCGTTCTACAAAGCAAGCATATCATTGGTTTGAAAACCAACAGACAAAAGAACTTTTAGAAGAATTTCCTCATATGATTGCTTCCTCGGAAAACCGGGGAAGAGATTCCGTATGAAAATCGCAAGAATTTGGCTCCTGGTTTGAAAGGTTATTATGTTCATAGACTTTTAGTAAATGCTGTAGCAATGTGGGCTTCACCTTTATGCTTGTTATATTTTCATGATGTTAGATGAACTATATAAAGCAGAACGTGGAGAGATGGAAAAGAAACTTCAAGCAAAAGATGAAGTCATTGAATCCAAAGACAAAAGCATACAGAAAAGAATACCACGTTCGGTACCAAAAGGAAAGGAAAAGAACTATAAGTATATGATTTATACTGAAGAGTTGGAAAATGAAGAAGACAGAGATATGGTTATGTTGCATTTAGTCAGAAGAAACAACAAAAGCTTTTACGACCTTGCTAAGATTTACAAATCTGACAGAAACTGGTTCTATCGTGAAAACTTACCGATTTCAATGACACCGAATGAGCAAATAAAGGAAATAGTTCAAGATACGTTACCTCAAACACACTATGACATCAAAGGTTGTACAATACTTACATTCAAAGAAGACTTACCATTACTGAAGGAAAAAATAACAGAATATTTCGATAACTTCAAAGAGGAAGAATGAAGTCACGACAACATTAACGAAGAGAGAATGAGATGAAAAAACGGGTGAGATCTCACCTCTTCACCTAAAATATATTTTTGTGCTATATTTACACTCATTTACGAAGAAGTCATGAATCCTACGTCAATTATGTTCGACACTGTAAGCATTAACGATAACATTAACAATAACATTAACGATAACATTCATTTTTGCATTAATCCTGCTGTGTTGTCAAAATATCAGTCTTTGTCTATAAAGCAAGCTGCGCTCCATGAGATTCTCATAAATTATTATGAGCATCCGGAACTTCACAAAATCTGGATTCGTTTCTATGGTTTCCAGCGTTATTTTTGCATCATGACACGAAGTGAAGATTTGCACTTCGTCAAAATGTCAGTCTTTGTCATCATTTTTAAAAGAAGTTAATTAACCGAGTGACACATGGTGACGTAGTGACACCTTCAGTTCTTCAAAAATAAATTTTCTTATAAAGCTTCAGGGTCTATTTCTTCAACCATTTCACTTCCTTCGTCAATGTCAATAGAAGCTTCTTCAACCTTTGGTAAGAATTTCTGTATAACATCTTTGTTCGTTATTGTCTTCAGAGATGAAGGATAATATTTCACAGATGTTTCACCCTTCTTATATTCTTTCTGTTCGGAAAGATTTAAAGCAATACTGAAGAAGTCAATGTTAGAGTTCTTTATGACAGTATAATGAGTATCTTTGACATTCACGAAGAAACTCTTTTGTTTCAAAACTACTGCTAACTCTTGTGAAGTATAACGTTTGCGGTCAATGACGATAGCTAATGGTCTGACATACTGACCAAACTTAGATTCTTTCACAAACTTCTTGTTAAAGATAACATTAATATTTGAAGCATTATTGAACTCATTCTTGATGGCAGTAGCGAGAGCATTGTATGAAAAGAACTTGCAATCTTGCATGTGTTTCATTATAATAAAAATATTAAATTATTTTGAAAAATAACTTAAAAAAATCTAATCTAATTTTTTCTAAGAAATTTTTTTATTTCCTACTAAAGATGTATCGGAAGTTGTCTAAGTTAGAACACTCGGAAATAAAACAACTTCTTACAGAAGCTAACATAGAAGTAGCAAAACATTACACAACAAACAAAAAAGCACTCGCTGACATCCTCAATGACTACAATGGTGAAATAACTTATGATAGAATTCATGAGTTCATAAATGCAAGAGCATTTCCTTTAAATGACGTTGCTATTGACTTATATCATAGACGTTCAGTACCTCATGAAGTAAGAAGAGAAATGTTTGACATAACAAATGCGAACGTTGGTCATACTCGTAAAGCTCTTTCTCATGACGTTCGTCAAGAGATGTTTGAACTTACGAACTCAAACGTTGGTGAAACAAGAAGAGCTGTACCTCATGAAGTAAGAAGAGAAATGTTTGACATAACAAATGCAAACGTTGGTGAAACAAGAAGAAGAGACGACACACTGAAACAACAGAGAAGAGAGATGTTTAAAAGTGCTATAGAACAAGTTCGCAAAGCTAACGATGTCATTCGTTCCATTGACGACAAACCAAAAGAAGGTGAGAGATGGTTAAAGAAAGATGAAGAGAATAGGAAGAGAAATGTGAAGTCAGGCAATAGACTCATTGACTTTAACATTGAAGCTTTAGATGAACCAAACAGAGACTACTTACACAAACATTTCGGTAAGGTTTTCATGAGACTCTTAGAGAAAATTAAAATAAACTCACAACAGAGATGGATGGTATGTTATAAACTTGGTGGAAAGTATGAATGTTCTACGTTAAACCTCAATAATATTGGAACATTACTACATCAGCTCTTGAAGGAGAACTTTATATCAGAGATAGAAGCAAATGCTGCAGGTATTGTTGAAATGCACTATGACTTCTTCTTGACAAACATAAAGAATCTTACTGAAATAAAGATGTATGATTTAACAGAATATGAAGGCTTAACGATGTCAGATGTAAAGAAAGGCAAACCAAAAAAGAGACCATATAGAGATGAAAGCACACTGACAAATGACCAGAAAGCCATTTTGGAAGCTCTTAAGCAAACAGGAAACCCAGCACTTATAGAAAGCTTTTGGAAAGATAATGGTGAAAAGAAGTTTTATAAGAAGAGAAGCGGTCAGTTCTGGAAGTATCTTTGCACATTACCTATAAATCTTGAGCGCTACCAAATCTTCAATGAATTGAACAAAAGAACTGCAGCACTTATGACAGAAGACAATTGTTTCGTTTATGCTTGCATTCAGGCTGGAGTAGATGGAGAGACTATTGACCACATGAGAGAAGTCATTCGTGTTAGAGACTTTCCTCAAAGTAAAGTACAAGAAATTTCTGATGCAACAGGTATAGCATTTAATGTTACCATTGGTTACTTCAATGACTCAAGACATAATGAAATAAAGAGATACATACCAAAAGAATGTGAAACTGTTCGAACTATTGACTTATTTCTTGTTGAAGACCACTACATGCTAAACGAAAGATTACCAATGACAACATATTTCATTCGCAACTATATAGAAATCTTGAAGGAGTGTGGTGGAATGAACATTGAGAAACAGATGAAGATTTATACAAAGAGAGAGAACAAATATGTAGTTCGTTATGATAGAACAACACCGTTATGGGATGTTATGAAAACATTGTGGGAGTGCAAATATTTCGAACCTATTTCTTATGGAGAACTTTTCACATATACGACTGACTTATATAAACAGAACCTTGCACCATTTAAAGATTTGACATATGCTCCAAAGTATTGTGTACAACTGAAGAAGAAAGCCGAGTCAAAAGAAGTAAATAAAATAAGTGCAAGTTCATTCCTGAGCACGTTTTCTTTGCTGACTTTGAGTGTAGCACAGACGGCTTTCATAAAGCTTTTAACATCTGTTACGACAGTGAAGATGGTTCAGTGAGTGAAAGCATATGGGGTCAGAACTGTGCAACAGAATTTTTGGAGCGACTTCCTGACAAGAGTTTAATATATTTCCATAACCTCAGTTATGATATAAACTTCATCTTAAGACACATGACAGAAGTGAAAGGAACTCCCATCATTAAAGGTTCACGAACAATGCAAATAACTGGCTTATATAAAGGAAGGGCAATTATTATAAAAGACTCTTACAGTGTTATAAATAAGAAGCTTAAACTATTTCCTGCTATGTTTAACTTACAAACAGGACCGAAAGAAGTATTTCCATATAACTACTACAGCAGTGTTTTGTTAGCAAATGACAACAGAACTGGTGTCATTTCTGAAGCATGTAAGTTTATCCGGGATGCAGATACATTCATGAAAAACATAGATTCCATCAAAGGTTGCAGAATAGATGAGAACCACTTCGACTTAGAAAAGTATAGTACATTCTATTGCAAACAAGATGTAAGAATTTTAAGAGAAGGTTTTGTTAAGTTCCGCAATGATATATTGAAAGAGTTTGATTTAAACGTATATGACTACGTTAGTATTTGTTCTATTGCTAACAAATTGTTTGAGAACAGAGTGTACTTCCCGAATGGAAATTTATATGACCTCTCAAATAAACCAAGAGAATTTATTTCACGCTGTATTCAAGGTGGAAGATGTATGCTGTCAGATAACATGAAACAAAAGAGCGAAAAGAAACTCATTGCTGACTTCGACGCTGTTTCATTATATCCATCCGCTATAGCAAGACTCTATACTTTAGAAGGTATTCCAAAGGTTATGAAGGATGAGATGTTAAGCACAGAGTATCTCATGAGACATTTATTCGATGACGACCAAAAGGAACCCATTGGTGAAAAGTTTATGTCCGGCTTCTTTGTTCTCATTAAGATAACAGAGATTGGCATACATAGACACTTTCCTTTAATAGTTTGTGATCCTGAACTAAATCCAGAACTTAACGTTCCCAGAAGTTCAAACACTTGCTGTTTAATGTATGTTGACCATATAACATTACAAGACCTCATAAAATATCAAGGTGTCAAATGTGAAGTGTTGCAAGGATACTATTACGATGGAAACAGAGATATTAGAATAAGAGATGAAGTAAAGAAGTTGTTTGAGTTAAGGTTAAAGTATAAGAAAGAAGGAAATCCTTTGCAAGAAAATATAAAGCTCATTCTGAACAGTATTTATGGCAAAACTATTCTATCTCCTATTGAGTCAAAAATAACCATAGTAGATGACAAAGATGCTATAAGATATGCAATCAGAAACTACAACCATATAGTGAAGTTCGAAGGTTTGGATGGTTCAGATAAAACTATTTTCAAGCTAACGAAAAGCATTTGCAGACACTTTAACTTCTGTCCACCTGGTGTTAACATTCTGTCTATGTCGAAGAGAATAATGTGTGAAGTATTCTGTACTGCTGAGGACTTAGGAATGGACATCTTTTATAGCGATACGGACAGTATGCATCTCTACAATGAAGATATCCCTCGTTTAGCTGAAGAGTTTGAGAAACGTTATGGAAGAGTTCTCATTGGTAAAAACCTTGGTCAATTTCATAGCGACTTTGCAGAAATCACAAAAGATAAACAAAGTTTAGCATACAAGTCAATATTTTGTGGAAAGAAGACTTACATAGACTTACTCACGAATGATTTAAATGAAGTTGCATTTCACTGCAGAATGAAAGGCGTGAAGCAAGATGTTATTGCTTTAACCGCTAATGAAATGTTTTCTGACTCTGTTCAGTGTTTCTATGATGAAGATAAAGGTATAATGGTTCCGCAAGGAAAATTTGACAAAGACTCTGAGTTCAGTGTTATGAAGTTATATATAAGCACTTTATGACGGTCAAGAGATTGGATTTGACTTATGTAAGTCATGTCAACCTTGCTTTGAAGAGAAGTTTAACTTCTCAATAACGACTAAAACAAGCTTTATTCGTAAGTTGAAGTTCTGAGGTCATTTATTTTTGTCAGCAATGAGGTCATGAATGAGGTCATGAATGAGGTCAGCAATGCGGTCAGCAATGAGGTCATGAATGAGGTCATTTATTTTTGTCAGCAATGAGGTCATTCGTGATAAAAATAAAGCTAGCGTAGATTTTACAATACTGCGATGGTAGAGTTTAAGAGTTGTGCTTCAATGTAGAGACAGTCCTTATGGTCTGGAGGTAAGAACACTGGGCAGTTATGGTCATGAGTGGAGAACATGTCTATCCAAAACTCACGATTGAAGCCAGTTAATTTATAGTATTTAGGGTTAGGAAGTGGTGAATTTCTTGTATGACCAATGAACTCATTTTCAACTCCCTTACTTAGGTTTGAATATAATATAGCTTGCTTTCTATCCCAAATGCCAGGTGTTACAATCTTTGAAAATTCATTTTTCCTCGGAAGCATTGCATCATAATTGAAAACATTCTTGAAATCATCACTTGGTTCAGAGATTTGAAATCTTATACGTAATGGATTTTCTTTCTCTTTAGCGACTTCATTGAATGGTGAGAATACAATGAATTGACAGTCATGTGTTCCATCTTCATTTTCATTAAATTCATAATGAAAGTCTATAAGTTGTGGCTGACTACCTTCTTCTTTCAGTTGTGCAAGAAACTCACGTAAAGGCTGTAAAGTTTGTACTTCAATGTTGAACTTTTTCTCGAACATCTCATTAAATGAAATCATACATTGTTGCAATGTTGTATCGTCTTTAAAGTATTTGTATATGTGAATGTTTTGGGCACTAAAAGACTGTTCGTCATTTTCTATCTCGACTTGAAGTATAAAGTCAACCTTTCTGAAAGCACGTGTTATATACATATTTGTTATGCCAATGTACTTCTCTTCATTTATGTTCACAATCCAGTCTATTGGAAACTTAAACGTTACTCTGTTCCCCTTTATTTTGACGTCAGGGTTTTCACTACTGAACGCAACAGATAAAGGTATTTGTCTATACATTTAATTCGGATAAAAATAACCCATTTACTCTTTCTTTGCTTCAGCTTCTTTAGCTTTTGCTTCAGCTTCTTCTCTAGCTTTCTTCGCCAGCAAACGTGGGTTCTTTTGTCTTCCAGCAGCTAATGCAACAAGTTGTTTTTCACTAAGTTTTCTCTTGGTCTCTCTGGCTTTTGTTCTTGTTTTTGTTCCTTCAGTTCGGATAAAATTTGCTCACGAATTTCTTTCTTCAATGCTTCAACATCTATGACCCCTTGGGTCTTGTCCGTAGGGCTTGTCTGAGTCATTTGACTGTAGATAAAAAAAAACAAAATTAAAACTTTAACCGATGTAAAATGAGCTTGTCAAAATCAGAACGAGAGTCTATTATATTAAATGACGCCAGAGGAATACAACATCCTTTCTATTACGTAAGTCAGAGTAAAGATGGTAAAATATATGTAAGAAAAAGAAAGGTTCCATTAGCGAATGCAGAAAGCGACAACATTAAGGTGTATGGCAAGGGTGAAGTCCACGAAGCCCATATAAAACCTTCTGTTCAAACTGAAAAGTCAATAGAACCAGAAGAAAAGAAGCCAGATGTACTTTCAATAACGAACCAAGAGCTTATTGCAAAGTTCGTGAATTTTATTGAAAAGCAAACCGAGTCAAAGAACCCTGACCCACCAGTGAAAGAAGTTGAGACAAAAGAGAATGTACAGTTCATTGAAAATGTCAAGAAACAACTTCCACCACGAATGCCAAGAAGAAGAGTGAGAATAATGAAGTAAATAGATATTTTTATCCGAAGGAAAGACATGCAGAACGAACAGCTAAACGAATTTACTCCAGCAGAGCATATTCATCAGATTCGCTCATATTTCGATATCATAGACAATGCAGTTCAAATTGGTGACACTAATAGAAAATATTCTGACGCAAAGATTCCATCACAACCTGGAACTGCTAAAGATAACACATGGGTAACATTCAATCTCTCACCTCCTGGTGAAAATATGTTGGACCTTTACAATACATTCATTACGTATAAAATGGAAGGTCAATTTATTGCAGATAAAGAAATTGGTTCAGGTTCCAATAAAACAAACCCACCAGGATTTTGGATTGGTTTCGATGACGCTTTCTATGCAGTTGCTGGATATCAAATCCTTGCAAATGGTCGTATCGTATATTCTCAAGACAACGCAAGAGAAGAAGCATATATAACTTCAAACTCACAAACTACCGAACAAATAAAGAAAGTAGATGTTTTCTCAAAGACTCGACATGAAGATGTATGGAGTCATTCGGGAACATGCAGAACAGGACAAATTGTTAGTGGTCCAATTACAGCAGGAAAATCATTTGATTTTAAGCTTCGTTTAAGAATTCCTGTTAGAAGATTCCTTCCATTAGAAGCTATTCGATTTATTCCAGCTTTTGCAGGAAACATTCAGCTTAAAGTAAAGTTCAGTAGCGACGCCTTACAATGCACTCTTATATCTGTAAATGATATCATTGCTTTCAATCCAACTCTTAAAGTTGCATTTGCTTCAGATTCAAATCCACCGACAAATAAATTTGTTCCATGGAATGAACCATTCACTATGATAACGAAGGCAATAGAAGCTAGTGGAACAGTTACTATTACAACTGTAACCCAGCAACTATTTCGAACAAAGATGGATTTTAATGAATGTTTCATTCATCCAAAGTCATTCTCTTTAGACCCTAACATTTATACAGAACTTGTAGAACATTATACAAACGAGGCTTTATGTTTTCCTGTTAAAGTTATGGATTGGATTCCTATGGACGGTTCATTCTCAAAGAATACAGATAGTTCAAGTGCAACATTTACAGCAGCTTATACGCCTATTAATGTTAAAAGTATTTGGGCACTATTTAGAAAGAAAGACAACTATTATGTTAATTTTGAGAACCCTAAGTTTAAATATCTTCAGCTTTCCATGGGAGCTTATGGAAATATGCCTGCAGAACCTGAAAAATCATATGGACCTGTATTTTATGAAATGGTTGCGAACGCTTGCAATACAAACAATGATATGATTGGATTTAATGAAGATGTTATGAGGTCATTGGTGGATGATGGTAGTGTGGAACATAAATGGGATAGCTATGACAACACACATTTCTTATGTGGTTTTCCAACTGAAGTGGACTTTTGCTTCCAGCAAGGTCAAACATCTACTGCTCCAATAACATACAAATTGTCTGTTAAAGGACCTATTGAACTAGCAACTGAAAACGTACCAAAGCCACTTATTGGATTTATGAGGGATTGTTGCTTTGCAATACAAGTAAGACAGTCAGGCATACCAATAATAAGACTTGACGACTATAACTTAGCAACTGACGACAGTGAGGAATAAAGGATGAACGTTTATTTTTAAAGCTTATAAATGAGTTCTTCATCAAGCTCTCGTGAACCTTCACCATCTATGAAACAAACTTTACCAAACGATTATGGAGCACCTATTGAATATTTCTTACGAGCTGCACAATGGCAAAGAGCAGTTTCACCAAGGTTAGGTGTTCCACCAGCTCCTGTCAAAAATAGCATTTGGTCAAGTCCTTATATAAGATATGGTCTCCCACTAGGTTTGCTAGCTACAGCAGGAGCAGTAATGATGTTGAAAAGAAATAAAGCAAATGTTGTAAATAATACTGAAGTAGCTGAAGTTAAACAAACTCCGACACCAACATCAAAACCAACGCCTTCACAAACAACACCTTCAATGACTCCTGAACCTATGGAAGTACAAACTCCTGTTCAAAAGTCAACTCCTAAACCGACTCCAACATTTAAACCAGAACCTACACCACAAATAAATCGTAAAACTCCTGCGTTTCCTTACTGAAAAAATAACGTTATTTTTATTTAATATTAAAATTTTTATTTGATTGAAATGACAAATAAAGTCACTGAAGCAATGAAACAAAAGTTTTTGGTAGAATACATTAAATCAGGAACTATTCCAGAAGGTTTTTACATTCATGCTATGAAGGATGGTAGAGTTCAGTTTAGAAAGATAAAACAACCATTAGATAGAGAAGGTATATTAAGGAAGATTAAACTTCATGAGGACAACATTGCTAAACTTAAGAAGAAGTTAGAAGAGTTGGAGAAAGGAAGAGAGTTATAAAGCAATGAGAACGTTTATGTTATGAGAAATTTTTAACGTTAGTTTTATTTTTACTGAAAATTTTTATTTGGATGTAATGACGAAAACTATTGAGATAACAAACTACAACGGTCATGAGTTCAAGAACTTGTTCTTCGTTCCGCGTGAGAATACATTCTATCAGATACGAGGGAGAAAGGGTAAAGTTAGTTTAAGCATTTATGATAGTAAACATAATGGAAAGTTTATACAAGCAATAGATACAAACGGTAAACGTGTTTCATTACATTTGTCAAAACTTATAAACATTAATTATGACAGCGACTTTGACTCAGACGATTGGAGCGACAGTAGTGATACTGAAGAATATGAACTATTATGTGAAGCACAGCAATGGGAGGAGTTGCAATACTTTTGTAAGTGAGAACGTTAGTGTGAACGTTAGTGTGTACGTTAGTGAGAACGTTAGTGAGAACGTTTATTTTTTCATGCACGTGCATTGTGTCGCGGGGAGTTGCCATGGGCAATGACCTGCACACAATATATAACGTACAGAGAGGTGAGATGAGGTGGTTTATGTGATAAATACTTTACGTGGCAGAAATAGTTTAAGGTTATTAGAAATATTGCATCTGTGATGTAAAATATACGTTAGTGGTTTTGTAAAGTGTCAGATTGACATATCTTCGGTAAGATGGCGCGCAGTGCCACCGTACTGAAGATATGTATACTAACTAAGATTCCATTCAATTTTCAATTGATATCGAATTAGGATTAATTGAATCGATTACTCGTCTACTATTTTAAACCTGCAAACTAAGATATGAAATTTGTGTTATTAAACTATTTTATGTCGAATAAATGCCGATAATTGAATACTCTTTCAAAATTAGTTTATTCACTTCGTATGGAGTACCTACGTTTAGCATTTGAATATTTCTCTCATTTAACAATAGTACTTGTAAAGGTTGCATATCCTGCTTATGCCTCCTTTAAAGCTATCAAAACTCCAGACGGCGCCGACGATACAACATGGCTTATATATTGGACCGTAATGGCCATATGCTCATTCATTGAGATATATATAATACCATTCATTGCATTTGTTCCATTTTTCATGCTGGTAAGAGTAGGTTTTTATATCTGGCTCCAACTTCCAGTATGCAACGGTTCAATTTACATTTTCAAGAAGTTCTTGCTTCCATTTATGAGCAAACACTCAAAATTCTTTGAGGATGTCACTATTGAAAATAAGGACGATTTACTTGATACTGTGAGACGTATCAAAGAAAAACTCAGAAATGATTATAACGAAATCAGAGCTTCGCTTGATTAAAACATGCTGTTCTTTAATTCTTCATTTTTCTTCATAATTTTTTTTTTTTTATTTTGTATTATTTTTCAACGTTATCGAGAATTACTATAGTGGAATGAGTGTTTCCATTTTTGATTTAGTTTCCACATTTTCATATTTTCAATAAATATCTTCGATGAAGGTTCAGTATATATATCATTCAAAACTTTCACTGAAATAAGAATGCTTCGAAATAGCTAAGAACACAAGACTTTAACTATTAATTTAAGGAGTTTTCATTCTATGAATTCAAATATGAACGTGATAAACAGCATTCTTGGTAAATAATCGTTTTTTGCCAATGTATGAATCAATAGTAAGGAAATACGAGTTGGAAGGAACAAGAAATATCTGAAGAGGAGTATAAAATTAGAAAAATGATGTAAACATCAGAAATTTTATGGAAAAATCGATAATTGTAAACCGAAAAATCAATTGCATGATACCTTCTCGATATAATCTCATTATTTCAGCATTCTATTCAGATAGGAATAATAAAGAAAGTATGCCATGCACATTATGCCTTGAAATTACTTCCGATTCATGCATATTGAACTTATTAACATCAGATTTTCAACTAAAACCTTTTCAAATTCGGCTAAATCAATTTAAAACAATGATTACTAAAATAGGAAAGTGTAAATTTATATCAGATAACCAGTCATTCTGTTTACTTTTTATAGATTCTGCAAGAAATCAAAATAGATTTTTATATTCTTTAGCTGATGCAGGATTAATAGTTCCAATTGATTTACAAACATATGCGATCATCGAAAAACCTTCAAATATTCCAAATGGAAAATTTACAAATTTAGAAATGTCCGTTACACAGACAATTCACTCCATTTTTAGAAACAGATTCATGAATTTAACAGAAGAACAGCTTCCAGATCATTTTCAAGATTATAATGGTTACGCTGCCGCATTTTTCGTTTCATTATTACAAATTAAAGTTAAAAAATGGATTAAAGAGTCGGAATCAAATATTTCAATTAGTCCCGATTTTGATACCAATAGAGCTACAGAATGGTTGCTTTCGAAGACACAAGAAAATTCGAATAATTACGCAGAAGCACATAAAAAGATTAAAGATGCCAATCCTAACCAATCGAAACTAATCAAAGTAGTCAATAACGATGCCGTACGCCACAGAACAGAAGACAAACAATGGACTGATATATTAAATCGTACTTGCATTGAAGTTTTGTCATCAATGATTGCAGAGGGACATAGTTATTTACAAGGAGAATATGATATCAGCGCTAAGATTGCTCTTACGCTTGGAAGCTCAGGAAATTCAGAAACTATTTACAATGCAACGAAATATATCTGTGAATTTCTTAAGCTCGAGGACCGAGCAGGTGCATCAACTATTCAGCTCATATCTGATGAAATATTTAACATTTATGAGAAAGCTTGCCCTGAAATTTTCAAATTTTTCAAGAATCGTGGCTGGGATATTTTCATTGTACTTGGAAATGTTATTCCACCAATATTTACACGATCCTTTGATGATGTTTGGAAGTTATGGTACTGGCTTGAGCAGAAAAATGAAAAAAATAATTATGCTTTCTCTTGTTTCTGCGGAGCTGTTATGCTTATGATGATTCCAGAAATTTCAAGCCATAAGACACTTAAAGTAGACTATATGTTAGAGTATTGGGATACATCATTACCAAAACTCGACTTGAACTCACTTTTAGACATTTCTAACTATTTGTATCACAACTCACTCAACTAATCTTATTGTTTATTGTATGTTTTTATTTTGTATTAATAAATATATCTTTCAAATTAATTTTTCTTTTCCTTATCAAAACATATGAGCTAATAACATACATTATAATTAAAGGTAGGCTCAGCAAAATATAGTATTTATAGCAATTTTGATTGTTACCACTAATGTTTTTGGCATTGTTGATAATGATGAATGAAAATCTATTTTACAATAATCGTTCTACAAATTCTCAGTAAAAAAAAATAAATGAGTGGTGACAGAGTCAATCGTCCAGATCTAAATGTCGCCTTAGATCCTAATAATCCTCATATTAAAAACGAAATACTTTCTGCTATTGTTCAACATTTAGAAGAATCAGGATTAATTGCATCCTCACTTATTTTAAGGGATGAAATGCGTCTGAAGATCTCAAAAGACAGTGCGCGAAGCAGACTTCTCCTTAAACTTCGTGTTGCCATTAAATCTGGCGATTGGAACCAGATTGAACCACTTACAGCAGAATTAACTTCATCTCCAAAGCTTTTATACTCAATATTAAGACACAGATTTTTCGAATTACTTTCAACAGGAGATACAACAACAGCAATGCAGTTTTTAGCCACAAGATTAAAAGAGCATCGTGCATATGAAGATACTCCACATGATTTTGAGCATCTTTGTGCAGTTTTAGTTGATGCAGCATCTCCATCTCAATCACCACAATTACCAGAGCTTTCTGAATCATTAAAGCGAATCATCGAAACAATTGACGAACAAATTCGCCAATCTGATGCACCAGTCATCGAAAAAGAGCTTCCAGAGCATAGATTACTCGACTTACTTCAACTTGCTGTTCGTTTTCAAGTTGATGATTTCAAATTAAAATCTCCAATACAAACTCTTACTTCCGACTTCCAACCGGACGTCATGCCACATGGCCAATGCATTGAACTACCTTCCCATCACACAGCCAGTGTCAAATCCATCGCATTCGTCCCAGGAACTTCGACTTTACTTTCTGGCTCATCCGATAAATCCGTGATCGTTTGGAGCCTCGCCAAAATGGACAAAGTCAACGAACTTCGCGGCCACAAGGGCAGGATCTGGAGTATCGCTACCGGAAACGATGTTGCAGCCACTGCATGTTCCGATGGAGTTGTGAGAGTTTTTAATGTCCCAGAATCACGATTGATTGGCGAATTCCATGGCCATTCCGGTGATGTTTATTCCGTCGACACAGATTTCGAGGGAAGACACATTGTTTCGGGCGGATACGACCAATCAATCATTGTCTGGGACGCGCCAACGCAAGCACCAGAAACAACACTGAAAGGACATGGCGGAGCAGTTACTTCCGTCATATTCAACAGTACAGGAAACATTGTTGTTTCTGGCGGAAAAGATTTGACTGTTCAGTTATGGGATGTCAGATCTTATTTGGCAACAATGCAGTTGGCTCCTGTATTGGGAGAAGTCGCTGGATTGAGTGCGGATCCTTCTTTCACGAGAGTTTTGGCTGCAACAAAGGATTCAACAAACAGAATTTGGGATTTGAGAATGCCAAACCAAGTAATGCTGTTGAAAGGTCACCAGAACTCAGCGAAACACTTCGTAAGAGCTCATTTCGGACCAACTGGTTCTACTGTAATCGGTGGAAGTGATGATGGAAAGATCTACACATGGGATGCAAATACAGGAAAGGTGATAGACAAGATAAGAGCAAACAGATCTTGTGTATTCGATGTTGTTTGGAGTTCCCACGCACATATGTTTGCTTCTTGCGGTGATGAAGAGAAAATTAGATTATGGGAACCAAAAGAACTTTAATTTATTATTAGTTATTCTTTTTATTTATCTATATATGATGTTTAATTTAAAATATTGTCTTTTAATCTTCAATTTATTGTTCTTTTGCATGCATTCATAACAAATCATACATTGTTGTGAAACTTTTACTTTTCTTTTAGAAGTCACTCAACTCAGGGAGTAATAATGAGAATATTTAGATTATATTGGTTGATCTCATACTATACGTTGGAGAAAGTGAGTGATTTATGGGAGTTGGAGTGCTTCTAAACATTTTTGAATGATTTCATTAATGTTTCCTTGTAAATTATAGAATAATTTCAATTTTTCTGAATAAAACGGAATCATTTTTGAGTTATATTTAAATTTTCATCTGAGAGATATTTAATTCAAAAATCATCAATCCTCATTATTAGATTCATTAATAGTAAATTAAATAAGAGTTGCTGAATTATATTTACTAATGCACCTGGTAGAATATATCTATCTTATTCTTCGATATGCTTTTTACCAATAGTTTTAACCTTGAGGTGAATACATAAGATATCAAAAAAGATGTAGTTATATAGTTTAAACAATGAACCGCAAATCTTCTTCAACGCATGATAGGAAATACCAATGGGCCATTTAATATTGATCACGAAGATTATGTTTTATTAATTCAAACATATCATTGGAGAATCACATTGAGATGGTTCTTATTACTTCAGTTAAAGCTGTTATGTTACAAATCTACAGAGATTCAGGTTCCCAATTTCAAGGTTTTGCAATCCTTTTTAATGAAATCGATGAGAGCTTAAATTATTATAGGATAACTTAAAGTGATGCATTTTATCACAAATTTTTTCATTTTTTTGATGTTGTATCTGATTTCTCATCGAAAACAGAGTTATTTGAATTATAAAGTAGATTTTCTTTGTATATAAAGAATATGAAGTAGTCTGATCCGATTTACATCAAATTAAGATTCAATCATCTGTGAAAAAAATATTTTTTTTCTGTTTTTCAAAAAGCAATTTTTTAGATGAAGAAAATTGGACGTTGGAACCAGAAATTCGACTTCTCTAAAGACGTAGTTACAGTCGAAGAGAAGATGGAAGTCGTTAATAAAACGCTTTCCGTTCCTTTTTATCATTTAGAAGATTTTATTACTTTTATTCAAGAACTAGTACCAAAAATCCCAATATCAACATTCAAAAAGAGCTTAAGTGAACAATACTACGATTTCGAAGACTTTGATATTGCTGTTTGTGATGATATCGCAAATAACAACCTCGATGCTTTGTTCGAAAACCCAACTCTCGAGCTCGAAGAATTACAGCAAGCTCTTCCAAACATCATCCCGCCAGAATTAGTCCGTCCTCTTATCTCCAAAGTTCAAGATATTTATCCATTACAACCACACCAGCTTATTGCTGAACTTCAGGATGATGTTAGAGCTTCATTTGCTGCTATTGCAACCCTCATCAGGTCAAACAATCGAAACGATTCGTTCTTATTGTGGCTCGCTCACAATTTAATCCGTCCTGATTGGCACCAGTGCACAGGCAACGACGACAAAGAGATTGCCAAGTGCGGAGTATTCAAGAAATTCGGCGCATTCTCATCAGATACCCTTTATTGGGCACTTCTTTCACCAAACAACAATTTTCAGCTTATCAACCCAGAAGGACAAGTTGAAATGAACTTCAAAGCAACAACCATCGACAAATCTCATAGTGGCAATTCATTACGTGTTTGGAGAGACAGCGAAAATATCGGAATTCGTCTCGTCAAAGTCTTCGATGAACTCGTTGACCACTGGACTACAGACGATACCCAACTTGCTGTCTTCTTACCATACTCAAATGGCTGTCCACCTCCTGCAGTTGTAGTTGATGCATTTAGACGTCTTCTTTTAGCGGAAGATACCGTTGTTCTCCGCGCGCTCTTCCACCATGAATTATTCCCTGTCGATGTCGTCGGTCAGCAAATGATTGATTCACTTTTCAAGATTTTCTCATCCAAGAATTTAGTTCACAGATTTATTTGCACGGTTGTCAGCTCCGAATTTTCACATCCAGGTGATCTTACAGAGACAATGGTTCTTCGAGGAAACTCGCATCTTACATGTCTTTTCAAATACTTCGCAAGCAAGTTTGCAAAGGACTATTACGAGCGCGTCATCAAACCAGTTACAGACGAAGTTGTCAGCCAAGGCAATGTAGGTATCATCAAGCCAGAAGATGAAAACGAATGGCCAGAAAAACAAGAAAAAGTGGCAAAACTTCTCAATTCTGTCCTCGACAAATTGTTAAGTTCCGGGCCATACATTCCTGCCCAGTTCCACCATCTTGCTTCCATCTTGAAGATCTGCACAGCTGTTGTTCTTCGTTCGAAACACGCTGTTTACAATGCATTGTCATCATTCATGTATTTGAGATTCTTTACACCGGCGATTGTCACTCCAGGCAACGTTATCAAGGACGCAAGGCCTGTTCCTGAATTCAAGACAACAACATTGCCTTTCTCACAGTTAGTACAGCTTCCTCTCAACTTCCAGCAGTTCTCAATGCCGAAGTACGAGCACTTGAAGAAACTCAACGAAGACATCATGAACAGATACGCGGAGATCTACAATTTCACAATGGAAATCGCTGAGTATGATAGACAAGCTGCATACGAACAAGCAACAGATAAAGAAGCATTCGATGCAACATTGTGGATTGTTGAACACATCGCGAAATCAAACTCAAAGAAGGAATTCTTCAAGAGAGTTAATGAGTTCAGAGAAAAGGAAGATGAAAAGACATCTGTTTCATTCATGCTTGCTGCTATTCTCGCTAATTGCTTTAAGTAATCAATTAAATAATTCTCTTTTTTTTATTTTATTATCAAAAAATTGATTCCTTATTTTATTTATTTACAAGTTGACATCAATTCATACATATAACAAAGAGTTATACAAATTACTATATTATTCATGTATACATTTTGTGCATAAATTGCTATCAAGAGTTAAACAAATAAGCACATTCATCAACTCTTTTTTTCTGCAAAAAGAGTTAAAAGACCAGACTCTAAATTATGTCTTTGCTCCTCTATTTCAAATGAACTTATGCATTGATAATCATGAAGATACGAATGCTGTTATAGATTTTTAGAAATTGCTGATCAGATATCGAGTATTGTTATGTTTTCCGAAAATAAAAATGCAAAATCCTTTGATTCTGCCTCTATATAATGTCTGAATTTAAATTATTATATTTTTAAGATCCTTTGTAATCCGGATATACATTCTATGCCAATCGTAATAGATATGAAATAAAGATTATCTGCTGCATTTGGAAATCATATGATATTTGATCAAATATCCAAAATTTTCAAATACAGGAAAAATCAATATAAAAATCAATGGTAGTTCAATGAAATAAGAGAAAGGGACAGACTAGCCCATTGTCACTTTTTAATTTAGCAAATGAACGCTTATGGAGTGGAGTTTTTGGGTAAATCTGATTTGCCTATAAATGAAATAAAATCAAAAGAAACCATATTGGCATTATATTATGCAAAAATAAATGATCTTACTTAGTACTTTTAAAGTTAATTTCAGAAAAAATTTGACACAATGGTATCCGGCACATACAAGTGGTGTACAACCAAAATATAAGTTAGTTTAAACATATATTGCTATATCTCATGATCTTACTTAGTACTTTTAAAGTTAATTTCAGAAAAAATTTGACACAATGGTATCCGGCACATACAAGTGGTGTACAACCAAATCTTCGACTCGATGAACTTGTCATCGAGTTATATTCCAGTGTTGTTCCTTCATTCCTGATTAAGTTGCAAATTAAAGGTCTGGATTCAGAGAGAAGTGTTAAAGTTATCAAAAAAGTCACAAGAGATTTCGAAGAAATGACACAATTTAAAAAAGTCGAATGCATCAGTATGCTTGAAGCTGTTCAGAAAGGTCTGAAAAATGATACACTTGATCCCAACATTGTTTACTCAACATTAAAAATATTATTGCAAAGAAAACATTTGATTTAATAAACTGTTGTAAACAGAAATTCATCAAAAGTGACACCTCAGAAAAGCTAAAATATTGAATTTTTGGAACTTTTGATAGAGCACGTTTTTAAATATTAATTAAAGTAAATGTATATTTTGTAAAGATTCTTTTTAATAAAAAAAATAAAATTTTGAAGAAGAACACAAAATCTTCTGAAAAATAATATCACATAAACTCATATTATTTTCTAATATATAACTATTTTATATAAAAATCAAATTCAATGATCTTAAAAGCGAAGGATAAACCTCAAAATTTACGAATATAATGAGTGGGAATATAATGCTTATCTATCATAAAACCATATGAAATATTGTTGTAAACAGAAATTCATCAAAAGTGACACCTCAGAAAAGCTAAAATATTGAATTTTTGGAACTTTTGATAGAGCACGTTTTTAAATATTAATTAAAGTAAATGTATATTTTGTAAAGATTCTTTTTAATAAAAAATAAAATTTTGAAGAAGAACACAAAATCTTCTGAAAAATAATATCACATAAACTCGTATTATTTTCTAATATATAACTATTTTATATAAAAATCAAATTCAATGATCTTAAAAGCGAAGGATAAACCTCAAAATTTACGAATATAATGAGTGGGAATATAATGCTTATTTATCATAAAACCATATGAAATATCAATTTTTGCTTTACGCCTATTCCCACTCATTATATTCGTAAATTTTGAGGTTTATCCTTCGCTTTTAAGATCATTGAATTTGATTTTTATATAAAATAGTTATATATTAGAAAATAATATGAGTTTATGTGATATTATTTTTCAGAAGATTTCATTCTATATGCCTATGAAAAGTACTCTCAAAACTAACTTTTTCCTAATTATAATTAAATCTAGAATATTGTATTATGCTTAGTATTATTTAAAAAAAAAAAAAAAAAAAAAAAAAAGGTAGTGGGGCCTCCAGGCACTTCGTGCCCTCTAGCCCTGAAGATGTTTAGTATAATGAAGTTTTTTTTTTTTCTTGGGATGGCCTTCCAGGCACTTCGTGCCCTCTAGCCCATAAAAAGTTTTTGAGGACGAGCCAGCCGTTGACTTTTTTGTAGAGCACTCAAAATAGTATAACTTTGTCCGGACAAGTAAGGGTCTATCGTCGCTACAGGAAAAGTTACAGGCGTTCCAAGGAAGTATACTTTGAGAAGCCTTTTCTCCATTTTAAAACAAGATAGGACGGTTATTTTACAAAACTGACAACACTTTGACCGAGTAGTTTTTTGTGCTGAACAAAAAGTGTCATATAAACATCTGTCAAAAACCGTTTTTTACTTCACTTAAAATGCCACGTAAGCTACGTAAGAATATACGTAAGAGGAAGGGAGCATTGAAACATCCAATAGTAAAACTGACACCACAACAACAGTTGCAACAACAAATTATGAATGACCCCACTATGTTGCAACAAATGTCAAGCAACCCTATGCTTTTAAACCGAGTTCTTGGTGCACAGAGTGGAGGTTTAAGAGCGGCACTTTTAGCGAAAATGGCAGGCTATGGTGGAGCTGCAGACGGAACAGCTTATAACCCTCAAAGTCAAATGAATTTGAGTTCACTCAAAAATCAAATAGCAGATGTCAAAAAGTCAAACATAGACATACAGAAACAAATAAGTGAAAACGAAAAGAAACTAGAATATGACAGACACACAAAGAAACTCAATGAGTTAAACGTAGAGAAAAAGAAGAAAGAAGAACAACTGAAAGAACTAAGTACAGAGGAATATGCGAAAAAAGTGTCAGAAAAAGCAGCAGAAGTAGCAAAAATGGAACAAGATGTTATAAATTTGAAAAACCATACTACTCAATATAAAGTACTGAAAGATGAAGAAATAAAACAAAAAGCCCTGAAGACATATATGGATAGCGATGAGTATAAAAAAGAAGTTGAAGCAAATGTAAAGGCAGAAAAACTTTTACAGTTGCAAAACCAAACCGTACAGTATGAAAACTTAGCACAAGAAAGTAAAAATAACGACGCAGCCATGCAAAAGGCAATGAAAAGCGCAGAATATATAAAAGCTAATAATGACTGGTTAGATGCCCAAGCCAACGCCAAAGCAGCCCAACTTATAGGGTCAATAAGGACAAAAATACAAGCGGATGAAGACAGTTCAAATGAAGCTTTAATGAATGCTGACTTTAAGAATGCCTTCGAAGCTCTTCATAGTAAGGTGAAACTAGTGAACGACTTCTCATCTGGAAAGAAACTGAAGTCTCAAGGTTTCGACAAAGAGTTAAGAGAAGTAGCACAAAATATGACGAAAATAACAGATGCAGCAACGAGACAGGCAGTTCAAAGTGCCTATGACGCCGTTAGAGCAACTGTTGTGGAAAGTCAAGAAAAAGAGTTACAACAGACCAAAACAGACCTAGTAAATGCTTTCTTAAAAACGAAAAGTCAGGTAGGACATTATGCTGCAGATGGAACATATGTGCCAGCTGGTGGAACTTATATACCACCAAACCCTCCAAGAGAAGCACCTGCACCAGGACTACCTAAAACATTTACATCGTCACATGGACACAGACACAGGCATGCACCAAAACCAACACAACAACCAACAGTTCAAAATCCAGCACAACAACCAACACCACAACCAACAGTTCAAAACACTGCACCACAACCAACAGTTCAAAATCCAGCACCACAACCAACAGTTCAAAATCCAGCACCACAACCACAAACAGAGCAAGGACATAAAAGAAGTAGAGAACAAGGAAACCAAGAATTCTTAAAAATGCTTAAGGAAGACTATGGTTACCCAGATACTCTTGACTTTAGTGACAGATATAAAGAAACTATTAGAAAGTTCAAGGAAGGAAATACTGACCCGAACCTATTTAGCTTTATGGTTCAGCACCAAATGGGATATAATTTCAAACCTGGAAAATACAAGCTCGCTAAGGGATATGATTTAATAGCATATCATCCAAATGACATGGATGAATTTACTCCTAGATATTTGGTGTCAGAGCTAAATGATAATTCAACTCTCTTCATGAAACGCGTAAAAAATAGAGACGGAACGAAAGAAGAAAGGTTTATGAGTCCGGATGACTTAGATAGGGAACTTTTTAAAAACGGTCTCGGAATATATGAAATGCCAGCAGATGAGTACAAGAAACTCCACAGGAAGAAGTTCAGATACAACCAGACATGGAAGAAATAGTTCAGCAACAACAGCTAGAAGAGCCTGAAGGAAACGAACAAGTTCCTCCTTTGGAAACTAACTTCACAGAACTAGATGAAGATTTGGAACAGCCGAAAAATCTTGACCCTCAACAAGTGTATGCGGAGAATATGGAATCTTCAAGAGTCTAAGAAAAATTCAGCTGACATAGTAGAAGAATATCGAAAAATGTTCGCCGACATACAAAAGACTCCAACATCAGATGAAAATATCCAGCATAGAATGGAAGTACTGAAAGATAATGTACACAAATACAACAATCCTTTTTACTTACGAGCATAAACGTTCAATCTTTGGATGAACTCGGTGAAAATAAAAGGTTAAATTTCAACAAAACATATAGAAATGAAACATTGTTTAAAGTTCATTCAGAACCTAGCCAATATGGAAACAAACCTACTTTTGTTTCTGCAGACGATGGAACTACAATGAGATGGGTCATAAAGCTAATCCGGATAGGTGGTTCATAAACTTACAACCACAATTCCAAGAAGTTGTAGACGCAATGGAACGTGAATGGTGAACCAGATGTAGCTGGTATTTTCAGCGCGGCTTTAATGCCATTGAAAGATATGAAACATGCAGATATTTGGACCAGTATGAAATGAACATGGCTGATGGAAATATAACACCTGACGTTCTAGAACATTTATCTCAAAGAACTACACAGAACCATAGAGATGGTATATTTGGTGAAGAGTTTAGAAAGAGAGTTAGGGAGAGAGAAGGAAGAAACCTATTGTACATGACCTTGCAAACGAAAGTTTGCAAAATGTCATAAAAACTTACTTTGCAGACAATGAACCGAGAAGGGATGAATATTTAAGAAAACTCAAATGGACAGTACAAATGAAATGTTAGTATTGAAAAACATGTTCCTTGACAAAATAAAACCAACTACAGAAATAAATGACGCAAGACTGAAACATTGGGTAAAAGCTTTCCCATTCACAAAAGATATTGTTGGTAACATGGTATCCGAACATAGAAAATTCCATTGCAACCTTTCTTGTCAGACAACTTGGCAGAAGGTTTTATTTCAATGTCTTGTTCCACGTATAAGAATGAGTTGTCAATAGAAATAATATGAAACCTGTCGCAAGCAATATCTACTGTTGTTGAAGAACCTTCTCCAAACTCACCTACGTTTCCATAAGAAACAGCAGTTGTATATTCGTAAGTTCCAGGAACTATTTCTGACTTCTAATGGCATTGTCGCATTCGTTATACCATTCGGAAACATTTCCGTTCATGGCATCCAAAACTGTTGGCGTTATATTCTGAGCGGCGTACATTTCATATGGTAAAAATATAGAATAGTTGGATTTATATATCATAATAGAACCCACTCGGACCAAGCTTTACTTTGTTCTACTCTTCTTCTTTGGTGTCGCTTTTGGTAACTTGCCCTCTGCTTCAAGTTGTTGCATCTTTGCCTCATGTTCACCTAGTATGTTGTAAATTTCCCATGTCCTTTTTGCCTTTGGGCTCTGGTCGCCCAACTCAGGTAACCTATATCCTAGAAAGATTTTGTCATAGTTTGTATTTGAGTCTTCGCTTATTGTTTGCATGACTCTTTCCTGAGTTTCCGGTTCAAGCTCTTCAAACAGAGCTTGTCCATATGGAATAAGCTCGTTTCCAAATATATGTTTTTGTAGCCATTCTGGTTTTCTTCCATGTAGAGAGGAGTCCTTATCAATTTGAATAAAGATAAGAGACCTTACGAAGGAGAGTTTATCAATTCTAATGTAAATTTAAAAAGCACAGGAGATTATATATATATCAATTTTTAAAATATGATTTAAAAAAAATTATGCCTTTTGAGAAAGAATTCGAATGATTCAACATAATCATTAAGTGCTGCATGATAAGCAGCTGTGTGATTATCACTATCCATAGCATTGATATCAATGTTTGGAAGTGAACAAAGATATCTGACAACTTCAATGTTATTTATTAGAACTGCGTAATGAAGAGGTGTGAGTTTTCTTTTATCCATAGCATTGATATCAATATTCGGAAGAGTACAGAGTAATTTGAAGACTCGACATTCTTGTTAAGTGCAGCATAATGAATAGGAAATGCTCCAAATGGTTCTTTTGCGTTGATATCAAATTTTCCAATTGAAATAAGATATTTTGTAACTTCAACATCTTCATTTAGAACTGCATGGTGATATGGTGTTGAGTCAAGAGAATCAATATCCACATTAGGCTGTGTGAACATGTATTTAATAGATTCAAGACTATGAGTTGCCATGAAACTTGAGAAGAATTGACCTGTTTATACAATTCAATTTTTTTATTCATATACATTGATGGCATCTTAGTAAGTAACATGTTCGCATGCAAATTTAATTGTTTCATAATCTCCTTCCTCGCAAGCTTTTATAAAATCAAATAAGGATCATGTCCTCCTTGTAATAAATATTTTTTGTTTTTACCATTATTAACCGTGTTGTCCATTGAACTCATAAATGAACAGAAAATGTAAACTATTGAAAATTAGATGTGGTTGACTTGCTTTGAAAAATCATTTCAGGAACATTCTATCAATTATTGCTTTGAGCTCACTCTTTTCGATGAAATGAT